GAAGGTGGTGGCTCCCGCCCCATCATGGCCCGCCCTGGGCTCTCGGCCAGCACGGCAGCCTGGACCTCCAGCGGTGGGGAGAAGCTGAGGCCTCGGGGCGAGTGCTCCCCCAGGGTGGGCAGCACCAAATCCCTAAGGCCCCTGGGAAGACAGGGTGCTGCCCACCCTGAGGACCAGCGCCCCTCAGGCTTGAGGGATAAGCGAGGGAAGAGGGCTTGTAGGCTGACACTCTGGGCCCCGGGCACCCACGCCGGGGCACCCAGACCTCCTGCTGCAGCTCAAATGCCCCCGTCCCAATCTGTGGAACTGCTGCCATGCGGGGTGCGGGCCACGAGGCCCCCACACGTTTGGCTCCAAGTGGTGGAGAGCTTGGCCGTGCCCTCCGCTGGGAGATGCGCAGGTGCCACAGATCTGACAAGTGGGTCTGGCGCCTGCCCTGTGCAGTTTGGGGCTGGAAGGGCATCCTGATTTCCACCCCAGGCCAATTTACTGGTCACTCATGGGGGCACGACTTCACCCTGGGGGATACGATCAGACGCAGGCCCTGCCGTCCTTCCTGCGCAAGGACGGAGAAGTGGCCTTCCACTCACTCCATAGACTTCCCGGACACCCCGAAGTGCCGCCAGGCCCTGCGTGGCCCAGGGCTTTGTTGGGATGCCCACCCTGGCTGAGCTAGGCTGAGGTCCAGGGGGATGCATATCTCCCACTGGACACTCGCCCGAGCCCAGTGGGCACACCAGCGAGGCGAGTGGCGGGGAGAGGGTGGTTGGGCGGGGTGGGCCTCCTGCGAGGAAGGAAGTCAGGCTCCCAGAAACCTCCTTGCACCCAAGGGGAGGATGACAGTCAGAGGGCGAAGCGGGAGTTCCTGCAAGAAAGCCCTCCGGAGAGGCTGACTGTGCCTGGGAGGCAGACGAGGAGGCCGAGGCCCCAGCGAGGCTCCACAGAAGCTGGGCCGGGAATGAGCCTGGTCACGTGAGCTGCACGTTCTCGGGGTGGCTGCCAGGCCCACTACCCACCCCCAGCCCGCTGTCAGCCCCCACTCCCCCACAGGGTCCAGGCTGCGAGAGACCGTGCCCTCCGGTGGCTCCTTTGGGGTTCTCTGAACTGGCAGGCGTCCACACTGAGGACACGGCGCTGCCCTGCCGTCCCGTTGTCCCAAAGCCCCTTCTCAGGTGGCTCTGTCTGTCCTGGTCCTCGGGCCCCACTCATCTGGCTGCCCTCGGGCTCCCTGCCTTCCCCTCGCCTGTCTCTCCACTTGGCGCCATTCCTGTAAGTTCAGCCTGGACATGGTTCCCATGGTGTTCTGGTGAAACCCGGGACTCAGATCATAATTGCGGGGAGTGGCGGGAGCTGAGGGGAGCGGAGGGGAGTCGGCCGTCTCCTTCGTGTTGCACATGTGTGGAATTCTGGCCCAGCCTCCGGTTGCTTAGCGACCTCGGCGGAGCGGGGCCCTCCCGTAGCTGAGGCCCCTTCTGCCCACCTGCTGGCACCAGAGCAAGCTCAGAGGGCCCTCGGGTGGGAGCAGGGCCCTGGCTTGGTGGGAAGGTGGCAGCAGGCTGACATTGAGGTGTGGCCAAGGGTCCCCGAACCTCGCTGTCTGTGCCTGGCCTAACGCCCGCGTTCGTTTCATTTCCTCCATGTGCTTTTCGGTGTCAGCGTGTCCCAGAGTGGGGGATGAGCTAGTCACGCCTCACTCCTCCAGTGAGCAGGCGTCGGGAGGCATCCCGGCAGCGTCCAGGGGTGCCCGAGTCTCGCATTCTCCTCTCTGTGACCATCAGGAAGTGTGACAGGTCCATGCGAGGACGCCAGGCCCGGAGAGCACCCGGCGGGGAGTGTGAATAGGGTGATAGGGTGGTTCTCATGTTTGGCGCATGCCCGGCACCCCTGGAGAAACCGGTGGAAGGTGGACCCTGGGGCCGGACAGCCCCTCTGCTGCCCGGGACTCGGGGGAGGCCACCTTCGTGTCCTCATCTTTGCCCCCTTGGCTTGGCTGGGGGCTTGGGCGCTGCTGCGGTGCGATGGAGCCAGAGGCAGTGGAGTAGGGGTGAGGTGGGGACATACCCAGCTCGGACGGCATTGCCATGAGGGTGCCCTGCCAGGCGAGCTGGGCGTACATGACTGCCGGAGCCCCTGGGCATTTCTGCAGTGGACCTGGCTCAGCCTGAGGCGGGTTCTTCCCTGGCCCACCCTGCCACCTTGCAGGGGGAGCCAAGAGGGCTGGGAAGGCCCAGGGGCCTGGGGCGACTGACCTGTGGCCCCCAGGCTGGGTCCCTGCAGCAGATAAGTGTGGGGTGGGGGGCGGAGAGCATGGGAGAAGCCAGGCGGTGGTGGTCGGCGTGCTCAGCACCAGCACGCGCCAGGAGGCACTGGGCAGGCAGCCGGTCTGGACGGTGAAGGAGCTGGGTGTGTGTGGGGCCTATCGGTCCATGTCACATCTGCCCCTGTCCAGGAGGTGAGCCAGGGAGGCCTGGGGCTGATCCCTGCTCAGGGCTGGCCCCAGTCCCTGGGGAGAGCTGAGTCCACCTTCTCTGTCCTGTCCAGGAAGTGCAGAGCCAGGTACCCATCAGGGCTGTTTGACTACGGCTGGGTGTGCCACCCCTTGGACCACCCTGCCGGTGGTGGCCTGAGGTGTGCCAGGGCACAATCTGCCATGTGGCCTCGGTGCTGCCTCCTGGACAACGCGTGGTGCCCTGTGCCCAGCATGTGGTGGCACACGGCCCCATGCAGGTGGACGGGTGGGCACAGCCCCTCACCAGCCTCCTCCCAAGCCCAGACCCCCCCACGAAGGCGTCTGAGTCTCAGTGAGCCGTTCTGCTGGGCTGAGGGGCTCCCTGGAGAGGGCCAGGGCCTCGAAGGTGGGCAGGTGCAACGCCAGGTGCTGGTCGGGCCGCTGGGTCCCCACTGTCCTGTGGGTGAAGCAGGAGGGTCTGCACTGACTGAGCGAGGGTGAAGCAGAGGGAAGAAACAGCTGGGCTCGGGGCGGAGAAGGTGCTGGGTGCTCAGCCAGGGACTCCCAGGCAACTGGTCTGTGGCTTTAGCACCTCCACGGCTCTTGGAACCAGGCCGGCAAGAGAACTGCTGGCTTTGTCCCCACCGGAGACACACTAGCAAGGCCGGAGCCGCCATGGGCAGAGAGCTGAGTGCTGGCCTGCCTGGGGAGGCCCTGGCCTGGGTGTCTGTGAGTCTGCATTTTCCAGCTGGTCCGGAAGTCTGCAGTACGGCTCTGTAAGTCCTGGGGTGGGCCTTGTCCACTGCTGAGGCCTCGCTGGTCGCGGGACCCCTGGGTAGCCTACAGGGCAACGGAGGCCAGAGCTGACCAGTCATGGGGCATGTGCCCCGCATGGAGCCCTCCTGCCCCCAGCTCGTGGTAGGGAGCCCAGGCTCAGGGAGGGCCCTGGGTAGCCCCGGCTCTCCTCCTCTGCTGCCTCTTGAAGAACCAGGGGGCCGGGGCCGGACTTGGGTAGGGCTGTGTGTCTGTGAGCCCCAGTGGGGAGCTGCGGCCTGGTGGGGGAGTGAAGGCAGGGGTGGCAGGTGCAGCCTCGGTAAGGAGACCATGCCTGGGACCACGTGTCCTTTACTAGGGCATGTCCTTGTGGTCACAGCATGATGAAGGGGCAGGCGTGTCACTGGGAGGCCTTCTGAGTCACAGGCTGAAGCCTCGCCACCACTGGGGCAGGTGTGGGGCCCCCAGACATGCTGAGGGCAGGATGGGTCTCCAGCGGGGCCTCACGGTGGGCCAAGAGCTGATGGTATCGCTTGGACATCACAGGGTGGGTCTGGGTGCGTGGTCCTGTCCGTACCCACATCGGTGCCCAGATGGGGATGCAGAACCCACACAGCAGAGCTCAGGGCATAGGCCTGCCTATCCCTGCCTACGAGGGCCTGCGCATTGGCTCTGTCCCCACCGCAGGGGCCGTCCCTCTGCCCCTAGAAGTGGGTCCCCAGGACAGCCAAGCACGCAGAATGACTATGGGGAAACTGGGGCTCAGAGGCCCTGGTAAGGGCATTAGCTGCTGTGTGAACAGTGTTGGGTCCACGCTCGGAGCCTGGTGTCAGCTTCTCAGTGTACCGGCTGAGCAGGGCCTGCACTGACCTCTGGTGCTCCGGCGGTGGGCTCAGCTCCCCTGCCTGGGGCTAAGCTTCCGGACCTGTGGGTTGGGAAGCCCCTCTGGGCTGGCCAGGACGGTCCAGGTTGACAGCCTGAGGCCAGGCTTGTGGCCGGTTCATTTGGCAAACAGCTCAGCATGTGGACCAGGCCCTTGGCCTGACTGTGGTCAACGGGCATGTGGCCAAGAGGTTTTGTGGGGCTCCAGTTCCACACCGGCTCACAGCAGAGCGACCAGATCCACACCACTGCAGACGTTGTAGCACTGACTCCCCATTCTGCAGACAGGCACCCTGAGTCCAGAGGGGGCAATGTGGCAGGCCATGGGCTAGGGCCAGGTCCCCAAGCCTGTGTCAGCGTGCCCACATGGGTCATCGGCCCCCAGCCTACTTCCCTCCTGGGCACAGGGCCCTCAAAAGGCCAGTCCCCGGCCCTTCCTGCACTGGAGATGCGGCCGGTCCCCGAGGTTCAGGCAGCCCTCCCAGCCAGGAGCCTGTGCTGGTCCCGTCCTTCTGGAGACCGGCCCCCGGAAAGCACGGAGGCGCCTGCTGCTGACAGATGAGTCTGGGCCTCAGCAGGGCTGCCGGCCAGGAGGCACGACTCCCTCCTGCCCTGCTGCCTGGCCAGACCTGGCACCGCCACCATCTCCAGCCTCCCCTGCTCAGGGCACCCACACGGGACCGCCCGGACCTGGCTGCCGAACCTCGGCGGGAGCACATGGGAGTTCGCCCCGCCGAGCCCAGGCCACGGGGTGACCTGGAACGCCCTCCTGTAGAAGACTGTGGGGCGCAGGCCTGAGCCCCTCCCGCAGGCAGCCCTGTGGAGCTTCTCACGCCTGGCCTAGGGGGTGCCTCTGGGCCATTGCAGGCCCACCGTGTTCCTTTAGAGTATTTGGGTGCGTGGATCCCCTCTGTGGCCCAAGGTCTGCCAGGAGTGTGGGGGCTTCCTCGGAGCTGCAGGGTGGGGCTGGGGGGGGCGGCACCCAACCAAGCGTGCAGAGGATGACCTGCTGCCCAGGCCCAGCGGCGAGCCATTTCACCCCCTCCGAACATCCATTAGCCGGGAATGAAGCTGCCGACCCCTCCCTGCACTGATTTCTCCTGCTCCAAGGCCCGTTGGGATCTGCGAGGTGGACAGTTTCTTGTTCTGGTTTTCACAGAGGAGGGACAGGATGTGGGGCGTGGGCAGGTGGGGAGGGGCTGGGGAGAGAGGGGCGCTCTGGGCGGCAGAGGCTCCCCAGAGCCAGGGCCCAGGCCGGCCTCTGCTGGGCGGGGCTGCCCTGAGCACGAGGCCGTCCCGCCCGCCGGGCCCTAGTACAGCGTCTCCCGGGTGGCATTGCTGGAGAAGGTGTGGTTGCTGGACAGGCTGGTGGGCTTCCTGGAGAAGGCCGGCCTCCTCCCCCGGCGCCGCCACCCGGGGCAGAGGCAGGCCAGCGTGGACAGGAAGCCCTGGCGGAAGTTGGCGGAGACCAGGTTGTACAGGACGGGGTTGGCGGCGGAGCTGACGTAGAAGAGCACGTTGGTGAGCATGTAGAAGTAGTGGTAGAAGTCGTAGAGGAAGCTGTGGAGAGAGGCGCTCAGACGCCGCCGCCCGGCCGCCCCCCAGGGGGCCTCCCAAGCTGCTGGGTCCCTCACACCGCCGGGCCGCGTGGCCCAGGCCAGCTGGGGCACGTCCCCGCAGTCGCCCCACAGGGCCTGGTCTGGCCCCTCGGCCCATGTTCCGAGCTCTGCCCCACACTGGTCTCTGCCAGCTGCTGTCTCCCACTGCACATGCGAGCCTGCTTGGGGCTCAGTCCTGGGGTGCAGCACCCCAGTGTCTGGGGCCGCAGGCTTGTGCTTGGGGCTCAGTCCTGGGGTGCAGCCCCCCAGTGTCTGGGGCCGCAGGCTTGGCAGCCCGCCAGCCTGACCGAACAGCCAGGCCAGAACCCCCCAGGTTTCCCGGCACGGGTGTGCCCCCACCCGGGCCTCGCCCTCGCTGCGGTGCAGTTTCAGGTCTCTGTGCGGCTGCACTTTGCTCCTGGCAACTCCCTGGCTGGTGCCGGGCACCCCCACCACCTGCGCTCCCGGGTGCTCCCGAGACCCCACCGAGAACAGCAGCTGGCAGCTGCCACCCGTGAGCGCCGTGGGCAGGCTGGCCTCTGGCCCTGGGGCTCTGTCGGGGGCCTCCCGCTTCCCGGTAAGGGCCGAGCCGTCTGCCCGCAGTGGGGCATGTCGGCGCTGCGCCCCTGGGGAGCTCAGCGTTCTGGCAAGCGTGGCAGTGAGTACCCGTGTCCTCCAGCCTCCCCACTGCTCTGGGAGCCTCGTCCCTTTGCCGGCTTGGCTGTGTGTCCTTGGCAGGGACACACCATAGCCCCGTGTGACTCCACGCCGAGTCGTGTCTAAGCTGGGGTACCTCGGGGCCCCGATGACTGCCGGCACGTAGGGATGCACATGCTGACCCACCCTGTGGGCTCAGACCTGGCGTGGGCCTGCCTTGGGCACCAGCTCTCTTGGCCCTAACTTCCTGGGGCATCTCTGCCCTGGACCAGCCCCACCCCTACTTGCGGGGAGCAGCCACCAGGGCCCAGCCTCCTGGTACTCACGGGGTCCACTGCTCCTCCGAGACGTAGCAGAACATGAGACGGCGCACGTGGTAGGGCAGCCAGCACACCACGAAAGCCAGGACCACAGCGCCTGCGCAGAGGGACACGGACACGGGGTCAGGGACGGACACGGGGTCAGGGACGGACACGGGGTCAGGGAGACACGAGGAGGCACAGGTGCTTACGGACTGGGAGACTAGATGTCATAAAATGTCAGTGCCACCCGAAGCAACCTACAGGGTCCACGCAGTCATTATAAACCCAGCACGTTTTCTGCGGAAATGAGGCAGTCCACCGAGAGCCCACGGAGCACCTCGCATGCTCTCGAGCAGGGAGGGCAGTCTTGCAAACGCAGAATAAGGTTGGGGTGTCACTTTCTGAGTTCAAAGCTCACTGTGGCGGCAGTGGCTGCTCTGGAGCGAGGGTTTGCGCACAGCCTCACCCACCGGGATGCACCTGGCTGGGGCTCTGCCCCGCACACAACCACGCCTGCACTTCCCGGGCCAGGGTGCCTGCCCACCAGAGTGGTACAGGGAGCCTGGCCCCCACAGCTGCGGGGCAGGCCGGGGCCGTCGAAGGCCATTTGCAAGGGAAGGGACGTGCCTGGGGACCCGGCACCTGCCAGAGCCCCACAGAGGCGTCTCTGGGCCAGGGAGCCGTTGAGCAAGCTGCCCCTCGGCTTTGCCCTGTGGTGCTGCCCGCCTGTGGTCCTCGCCACCTCGCTCCTCCACACACAGCTCCCGGCCTGGTGGCCCTGGCCCTTACCCACCATGGCCGCCGCGGAGGACAGGACAGGGTGTCCCTATGGGGAGGGGCGGGTGGCACCATGGGAACAGGCCAATGGCAGTTTTGGTCACCCCAGAGGAGAGGTGACTGAGGCAAGTGAGTAGCAGGGTGGTGGGGGGCCCCTGTCAGCTCTGGCTGTCATGGCTGGTGGGCCCCGCGGGGAGGGGACAGACAGCCCAGGGGCCTCGTGTGGCAGGGGAAGGGGCAGGAAGGGGCCCTTTGGGGGGCTTTGCCCTGTCTCTGCCCTCTGTCGCCTCACCCTTTGTCTGGCTCTTTGGGCTCACCCACACTGCTGGGGACAAGAGGGCGGGCTCCTTGGGACGCTGCACAGGCCTCTTCCAGAAAGACCCAGGGTGAGCTGGGCTTCTGGGAGCCGACGCTGGGGCTTGTCTGTGCTCATGTGGTCTCGTGGGGCAGACACCAGGGACCCCAGCCAGGGGCTGGTCCTGGGGTCATCTGGCATGGTGTCCTCGGCTCAGCCAGCTGGACACTGTGGCTCACAGCTGGAGCCAGCAGAGACGACCTCCCTGCCCTGTGCTGCTCGTGGTGCCGATGGCGGGTGACTGCTGAGAGCCACAGGGCCGGCCGTGTGAACGTCCTCACCCAGAGCAAGGGCCGCCTCCGTCTCCCTGGGAGATCTTTTGCCAGGGAGCAGCCGGCAGAGGACAGTGGCCGCTTGCTTGGAGCGGTGGGCTCGGGCCGCCAGGCAGCTGAGCCAGAAGGGTGAGCAGCGGCCCCCATGGGGAGACTCTGGCACTCGGTCCCTGGATAGCAGGTGCTGCCCCAGCACCGGGACACAGGCATGCCTCTAGCTGGGGCCACAGTGGGGCCTCAGCATGGCTCCCCTTGGGCTAGGGATGCCCTCTGTCCCAGCCACGGCCCCTTAGACCAGCTTTCAAGGTCCCCAGGACCGCACTGGGGGAGCCCAAGCAGTGCTCTGGGGGCAGGCTGGCCCTGGGGAGGGTGGAGTCAGAGAAGGAGCCCCCTTACAGGAGCTGCCTCGGGCTGTGGTCGAGCCCTGCCTCTGTGGCTGCTGCGATGCCCATGAGCACCGTGAGGGCACTGTGCAGGGCTGCACCTCGCCAGGGCTCCAAGGGGAGTGGGAAAGGTTGGGTCACAAAGCCCGGCCATGCCCTGGACATGCCCTGAAATGGGCCGGGACTGGACAGAGCCCAATGAAAACTTAAGGCATGGGTCTCAGCATGAAAAGGGACTGGTCTCTCCTGAGTCTTCCCCACCCGCCTAGAGTAGAGCCTCCCCAGGCCCATGGGGACCACAGGACCCGTCTGCCCCTCTGCCAGGCACCCCCGCCCACCTTCTGCCTGCAACTCTGTTGCCAAGATCGCACCTTGTGCAGGGGAGCTCCTCAGGCCCTCCCCGGCAGCCAACGCTGCCACAGGGCTCTGTTCTCTCCTCTGGGCTCCCGTGGTCTGGGTGCGATGGCTGCCCACGTCAGCCCTGCCCTGTCTTGGCCCCTGCCACCTGTGTGCCTGGCGCCCTGCCTGAGCGAGTGCTTGGGTGCCCGCGAGTGAACAAGTGGGCGCTGCGACTGGGGCAGAGCACTCGCCCTGGGGGCCGCACTCCTGGGCCTCGGCGGGCCTGGCTCCACCGTGGGTCTCTGAGCCCTGCCGGTTGGGTGCTGTGGGGCCCACCACCCAGCCCACCACCCAGCCCTGGAGGGCCCGGAGGTTACATACGCAGGACCCGGACGCCGTGCCGCAGGGCCTGGACCCTGCCGGGCTCGATGGCCATGCTGAATGTGCCGGGCCGGTCCCCCACCGTGCACACCTGGCCCTGCTCAGCCGCGTGGCGGACCATGACAGTCAGCTTGTTAGCGATGATGGTGTTCAGGACTGAGATGACCACCATGGGGAAGACGAAGGACACGAAGGTGTTGACCTGTGGGGAAAGGGCCGTCAGCCCGGCGGGGTTGCACACCGCCACTGCAGCCCCGGGTGCCTGCCCTGGGGCCGGGGCTGGGCCGGGGAGGTGTCCCCTCAGACAAGTGCAGGAGACCCTGCCTGTCCAGGCTGTCCACAGACCCACTGTCCTCAAGCTCAGCCATCAGCTGGCCACACCCCAGCCCTGAAGACCCTCTGCCACCTGGGCCAGTCCTCCAGAAGGGCCTGCCTGCACCCCTGAGGAGCGTGAGCCAGCTGTGCGGCAGCGGAGGCAGGGCTCTAAGGCTGAGACTATAGCCCTGGTGCTAGGCCATTTCATGTGAGGCCGCCTCTCGCCTGAACGCAGACTGTCCACAGAGACCGAGGGAGACCCTCCCTCCAGCCCACCCCAGCCACTTCCCAGAGCACCGAGAAGCCCGGGCCCCACCGGCACCTGGACTTCAGCCCCACCCCTCGCCGTCACACTGCCGGGCTAGGCTGTCACATCCACTCTGCATCCGAGGTGACCGAGTGTCTCAGAGGACAGAGGCCCGACCCAAAGCGCCTGGCTTAGAAGCAGCCGGACATGACCCGCCCTGAGCCCAGGTCCTTTGGTGACACCGGGGAGAGGCCCTCCCAACCCTGCCTCTCCAGAGAGCATGCCCAGGCCTTGTCAGGACAGGCCCGCAGGGGTGAGCGTGGTCCAGCAACTGGGAGCGGAAGCCATGGTGCCCAGCAGCAGTGGCCGGCTCCCCTGTCCGGGCCGTCTGGGCTGGGACCGCACCGGGTTCCTCCCTTGTGGGGCCACTCTGCTTGTCCTGAGTCACGGTAGGTTCAGGGCTGCAGCTGACCCCGCCCTGCAGCCCGAGCCCCACGTCCTGGGACCTGTGGTTCCCACCAATGGGGTGCTCCTAACGGCCTCTCCCTTGCCGTTACTCATCGTAAGAACGCAGCCTGTGAGGGTGGCCTAAGTTCCCGGGGAGATGGAGTTCGAGTCTGTTTTGGTGCAGAAGGTTCTCCAGGTCCTTGGACGGTGTGTTCACAAGGCGATTCCAGGGACTGTGAAGACTACGTGGCACCTAACGAGTGGCCTGTGTGCAAGTCATTAGGGAGCAGCCGTGCTTGTGGTCGGCCACGGCTGTTCGCAGGTAGGTTTTGGGGAGTCGAAGGTTGTGCTTGAGGACCGGCAGGTGGCGTGGTGGTTGGGATCGGGGCTCACACATGGCCGACCGTGGTTCAAGTTCTGGCCTGGCAGCTTGCTTCCTCAATTTCCCGTCACTCTCTCTAATCAAATTAAGAAATAAATAAGTGAAATTTTTAAAAAGGTCATACCTGAGTTTTGTCTGCAGCTCTCCTTAGGAGAACTGGGTTTCGAGATACTGACCAGGCTGGCTCTGCATCCCTGTGGCTGCCGATTGCAAGGAATCATGGGCGTTTACCCTGGGGCCCCCGGGCTGGGCTCCAGGCTGCCCCCTCCCGACAGGGTGTCCCCTGGGTTTGTCTGGGCCTGGCTGCGTGTCCCACGATGAGGACCCAATGGGTCCTTTACAGCACGGCGGTTGCAAGCCCAGCCTGCAGCGTCCTGTGATGCGCTGTGGCATGGAGACCCCGCAGACACCAGAGTGAGGGGCTAGGGCTCGGCGTTGGTCCCTGGGCCTCTTCTGGGCACCAGCCTGGGTGCCCCTGAGGGCCCCATCTAGCCCACAGCCCAGACCCCTCAGGAGGCCTTCAGGGAGGCGGTGGCCGAGCCCCCCGCACATTCCACTTGAGCAAAGTTGTGGACGGATGAGACACACCGCGGCGGGGACTGTGCCGAGCCCTCAGGAGCCCGCGCGGCCCAGGCTGGTGCAGGCAGATCCCAAGTGCCAGATATTCTGCACCACAGGTTGCTGAGCAGAGGCAGTGAAACAGCCCAGGGTGCGGGCCCAGGGGCAGGGCTGGCAGCTGTGGGGTTTGGCCCCAGCCCCGCTGTCTCCCCCTAGCTGGAGAGAGTCAGGTCCTTGGTCCTGAGGTTCCTGGGGGGGGGTGAGAGGGGCCCCTGCCCTGCAGGCCCACTCTGGCCAGAGGCTGCTGTGTGTGGGATGAGAGGTTCAGGGCCAGGCCGCCCTGCAGAGGGGGGCTGCCTTTCCTCAGCCCCCATATCTCCATTCTAGTGTCAGAGACAGAGCTGGGTTTGGGGGTGCAGGGTGACCCTGGCTCAGGGGCTTATCTTCTCTTCTCAGGCTCAGGTGCAGCTGGGGTTTCCACCTGGGGCCCTTCCCTGTCCGCTCCCCACGCCCTGCAGCAAAGGGGAGTGTGCCCCCAGGCGGTGAGCAAGGCCCAGGGTCAGGAGACTGGTGAGGGAAGACGGCTCCCCACGCGCTCTCGTCCAGCTGGGCTGAGCGTGAGCAGACCGCACCTCCAAGTCAGGCGGAGAACACCTGGAAGGACGTCTGGGCACGTCAGTCACTGGGGTGTGCGAAGTGGCTTTCACGGTGGTCTGCTGACCCAGCCAGGAGGGGCCTGTGATCCAGACTGTCTGAGAAGGTACTGGAGGGCCTGGAGGGCACCCACCTCCTCCACCCGGAGGCCATTAGGCACATTCCAAAAGGCTTGGGTGGGTCTTCATTGGACAAACACAGGCCACGCCTTCACCCCTGGGCCAGTCTCCAGCTTTGCTGAGCAGGGACCTGCACGGGGCTTCTGGAGCCACTTCACACCTTGTGGGGAGGACCTGCCTGAGAATGAGGCTTGCCTGGAAGGACCGAGTGTGCAGACTGTCGCAGGAGCCCCTCGCTCATAAAGGAAATACACTTCAGTGTTGTCATCAGCCCCGCGTGTTTCCTTGGTGGGGACTCCCTGGCTACGGGCCTAGTCCCTGTCCCTGTAGGTCATCCAGGTCACGTCTCCGTGGGCTGCATTGCAGGAGCTTGCCAGCCCTCTGGGCCCACCCGGCGACTTCACTGCCTGGAAAAGGTGCAGGGCAGTTGCCCTGGGGCCCGGACTCCGGGGATGGGGCAAGGGACGGGGCGTCTGCGGTGACCATGGCTTTGTGGTCTGTAAGTGTGACAGTGCTGCAGGCTGTTGTCGGGGCTGGGGTGAGGAGGCCTCAGCTAACAGCTGGCAAGTGTGCTGGCCTGGAGCCCCGAGGACCTGAGCTCTCCTGGTGGCAGAGGGACCGGCAAACTCTCAGGCCGTAGGAGGGGACGAGAAGGCACAGGAGACAGCTGGCGGGCTGGCAGTGGTACAGGCCAGCACATGGCTCTCCAGGCACTGTCCCAACCTGGCCAGGTGGCCCAGAGGGCTCCGGGTTCTGCAGGCTCAGTGGCATTTGGGTCTCTTGCTGGCCTGGCGTGACCTTGCAGCTGGCTGAGTCACTCGCTGGTGTCCCTCAAGCCCACCCCGGCTGGGTTGCTGTGGAGGCGGTGAGTGAGCCAAGCCCAGGGCTAGAAAGGCGGCCCTCAGCCTGGGTGGGGTGGCTCTGAGCGGGTTGCTTAGCACAGTTTGGGATGGCCTGGTGAGTCACCAGGCTGCCCTGTCTGTGGTTCCGAGTGGCGGGGGAGGGATGAGGCTAAGGGCAGGAGCTGGTGGGGACAGTGAGGCCACGTCCAGCTGAGACAAGGGCCCTGGTGTCTGAGCAGGGCCGCACAGCCCGGGCACTCTGGGTCTGCCTTTCTCCATCTCTTTGTGGCTTGTCTCTCGCTCTGTGTGTCTCTCTGTCTCCCTCTGTGTATCCCGGACTCTGTTTCTGTGGCCTGTCTCTTCCTCCATATATCTCTGTCTCTGTGTCCCTCTGGGTCTCTGCGGTCTACTTCTGTGTCTACACCTGCAGGTGGTGGGAGTCGGTGGACTGCCTTGCCCTGGAGCCAGCCAAGCTACTCTGGGCCTCAGGGACTGGGTCCATGAGATGAGGCGGGGACCCACCCCACACTGACAGGAGGGGGACAGAGCCTGAGGACGGGTGGGGATGCAGCCTGGCTGGGTGGGGATGCAGGCCGCAGACTGCTGACCTTGGTGGCCGGTGCTTCATCTGGGCCAGGGAGTCCGCCCCTCCCCATGGGCCGTCAAGCCCCATGGCCTAGTTATCCCTTGTGTCTAGACAGATGCCCCTGGTGTGCGAGGGCCAGCAACCGGCAGTGTCCAAGGGTGTGAGGTCCTGCTCAGGGGCCCAGGGACCCACTGAGGGGCAGGGGGGGTCGCAGGGCAGGTGCCTCCGTTTGACCCTCTCAGGGTGGTGACACAGCCCAGAATCCCCAGGGGTGATGCCATCCGGGGACTCTGGCCACTGTGGTCCTCAGAGATGCCGTGGGGGGCTCGGTGTGGGAGCAGGAGGGAGCTGGGGGAGCTGACCCTGCAGGCCGCTGGGGCCTGGGGTCCTTCTGCGAGTGGGTCTCTGAGGAGGAGGGTGTGTGGCTCCAGGGGCTTGGCGGGGCCTGTTCCTGGGTGCTGGGGGCCTGTCCAGCAGCCCCCGTTCCATGCTCTGTCGGGGAGACAGTCTGGCTTCCACCATGGGACATGCCAGACCCAGAGGCAGAAACCGCCTCCACCCTCCTTCCCAGATGAGTACATGGGCCTCCCTGCACGCCCCGGCCACTCCGAGCGGAGGACAGGTGAGCCGGCCGAGCGCCTACTGAATGCAGACGCATATCAGACGAGGGCACAGGGCCTCACCCTTGTCCTCAGGGCACATGCCCACCCTGCTTCCCAGAGGCCTCTGTCTGGGTAATGGCCGCGTCCAAGAACATCTGGTGCGAAGGCCAAGCTCCCTGCTGACCTCTTGGACTGGATGCTCCTGCGGGCTCTGCCCGTTTTGTCGCCCTTCCTTTGGGCCGGCTCCTGCACCCTGGGCCCTGCGCCTCGCTGCTGCTTCGGGGTTTCTGAGGGGCTGACCGGAGTGATGGCTCAGATTCAGACAGGGCCGGAGCCCCAGGAGCCCAGGCTCAGCACCATGGACAGCACCAGCTGCCACCAGCGGTGGAGAGGGACTGTGACAGGCGTGTGGCCGTCGTCCCCTCTGGCTGGGCAGGTGATGAGCCTGCG